AAGTTCAAGGGGTATGAATACTTTTGCAAACCACTGTATATTTGACTTCAGTTGGACCATATTCATTACTATGACTTCCTTTAAAAAATAATGTCAAAAAATTTTCCTTTACAGATTGCATTTAGATTTGCAATGATGCCATTTTGTAGTTTGTTTACTTTCTGATTCAACTGCTTGACTTTTGAACTGTGTTTGGTGAATGTAAAAATAGTTTCCACAAGCTTTTAGCCATAATTCTTAGCTTTCTATTGATACCAAATATGTCAAGGTTCAAATGACAGATCTTAAGTTAAAAGAAGTTAAAAGAAATAGAAAACGGGAAAATTTGTTTTGCCCCCGGTATTGGGGGCATGGGGCTCAAGAAGTTAGCCTGTTAGCTCGGGAGCTAATGCTATATTTATTAMATTTAGAGCTCATGCTATATAACTGCTATTATATATTAGCTTGGGAGCTAATGCTATAGCCATTAGCTTGAGAGATACAGCTTTCAGGTTAGCTTGAAAGCTAACCTGAAAGCTAAAAGGCTAAAGCRAAGGTCAGCCTTCCAAGAAGCAGRTCTGTTGTCCTCCATCCTCAGTTTCCATTTCAGGCTGCGTCATTTTTACATTCTCCTCTCTGTCAATAAGCTTCAGTTTCATTTAAAAACATTAAACATCAGACATTGMCCAAAATGAATGTTCAAGCCGGATACAGCTCACACCAGAAAAAACAGTATACATTATGTACCAAGAAGGCTTTGTGGCATAAATAACATGGAGTCATATGTTTTACAGTATTTATTTATTTTTTAATAAAAACTAAATGGCCTGAAGTATTTTTACAGTCTTGTCTTTGTAGTTGAAGTAAATGTTTATCAAATAATGTCTGATCTAASAACTAGTTGGGGTTCCCTTTAACTAATGTTTGTTGCAAATACASAAAATTAAAAAGAACTGAAAACAGACTCCAGAGCTCGCTGAAAAACAGTGATCTTATAGCCTTACTCAGTGTAATAAATGAACCCATGAGAGTTGCTGAAAGCTTCATTGTTCCAACAGGAAAAGAAAATAAACAAACACTGCTGAATTTTTCTGCCCAAAGCTAACTGAGTCATTTAATATCAACTTCCTTTTTACAGTCCCCTATAACTGTACAAACCATGAGAATAATACCACAGAATTTTGGACCGTTGTTTCTTATCTTCCATCCTTCTGTAAGGCTAAAGAAAACAATGGCATTAATGGGTTGAAACATGAGAAACCTGATAATTACCAGCTGACAATTAGGGAGGGGTGCACTGGTCAATGCATGAGTGGTCAAGGCATGTTGGTGTGTGAACCAGAGGAGGATGGGTTTGGAGGGCGGGAGGCACTTTGATGACTTTTAAAGATGACCTCTGACCCATTCAAAAGGTTAAGAGGCAGATTAGGAGCAGAATGGAAGGGATTACAAATAGACCCCTTCACAGCTCAGGCATCTCGGCACAAATTACAGGAATTTGTGATAGTGCGTCTCAGAATTTCTCTGACYAGAGATTTATGGACTGATAATGTGAGGCTAATAAACAACTTGAACATGCGTTACAGACGTGTCTTACCTTGTTTGAGAGCCAAGTCTTTTGAGTATGGTCTTCGTACGCAGCGACATTTTCCCACGTGGCTACCACTGCGTGTGTGGGCGTGAATTTTGCGTCTGGGAAGCCTCGATGGACCTCCTGGGAGAAGAGGGGAAGGCAAAAAAGAAAAGGATTTAAATAAACAACATTTGTAACAAGTATTAAAAGCTAAAATTACTATAACTGTTGCTAAGAGCAAAATCAGAGCTAAAAATGAAAATGAGCAAAATAGGAACAAAAAACAAAATGAACAAAACTGTAGCTACGGTATGTCAAATTCAGCAAAAATGTTGCTARCAACTATAATTGGTAAGACAGTAGCCACAAGCTACAACGCTTAAAAAAGCAGTTAAAATATGAAATTACCAATACAGTTGCTAAAGCTAAACAACAAAATTATATGAAGAAAATAAAATGAGACAAAGTTAAACATTAGAATCTGATTTGCAGTAACTAAAACTTAAAATTTGCTAAATTGGCGCTAAAAGCCAAAATAACAAAATATATAGCTAAGTTAAAATGAACTAAACTGTGCCTAAAAGCTACAGATAGCAAAAGTGTTGCTAAAAGCTAAAGTTAGCAAAACTAAAGGTATACAGAAAAACAAGCATACTATCTGCAAAACATTGGCTAAAAGCTAAAATTACCAAGGCTGTTGATAAAGTTAACATAGCAAAACTATAGGAAGAAACTAAAATGAGGAATAAAAGCCAAAATGAACAAAAATGTAGCTGAGTAAAATAAGTTAAACCATACATAAAAGCTACAGTTAGATAAACACTAAAACTTGTAAAACAGTAGCTAAAAGCTTGAATGGTCAAAGAAGCAGCAAAAAGTAGCTAAAATTAGTAAAACAAAAGCCAAAAATTAAATTTTGCAAAACAATAACTAAAAGTTAAAAATAGCAAGAAAGACAGTAGCTACAACGCTTTGGTTATTTTAAAAAGCATCTAAAAGCCAAAGGTGTTGTAACAAAACCATAGCAAGAAACCAAAATGAGGAAAACCAAAGCTAAATGTTATAACAGCCTAGCAAGTAGCTAAAAGCTAAAATTTACTACATCAAAGCTAAAAGCACCAATGAGCCAAACTGTAAGTTCAATTAGCCACGCCATCTAAAAACTAAAGTTAACAAAATTGTTGACAAAAGCTAAAATTTGTAGACAGCAGATAAAAACTAGCTAAACCTGACTGCAGGGTTGAAGGGGAACTGTGACGACCTAAAACAAAATATAAATTTTCAGTATTTTTGTCTCATTTCACCGTTCCCTCTTTGTTGTTTTTCAAAGCAAAGCCATGCTGTGCTCCTATTTTTCTTTGAATAAATAATTCCTCATTCCGGGTTTGCTCATTTTAAAACTCTTCTACTGTAAACCCGACATACGTGGGCCACTCTGTTGAGCACGCTGGGCGTTTCGGTCACTCGGTAATAAATCTGTCCTCGCCCTCCGCTGGTGTCGATGTCAGCAAGGAACGGAGCGACCGCAGGAAAATCTGTGGGGAATCCATCGTCGACGTATTGCTTTTCCATCGGTAGGTCCTGAGCCGAGATGATGCCGTTGGTGGCCACCTGGAGCGAGAAACAGTAAAGTTTAGGACCCTCCTAATCWACKCACATCCCCCTGTAAGCCTCACAAKCCCCAGGAACCACATAATGAACTCCTTCATTGCCTCCATAAACCACTGGAACCTGCTGAAGGTCCCCCCTGATCATGCTTCAGAGACATCCAAACCACATTAGAATGATCCCTACCTTACACTGCAGAACAAATAACCAATAAAATACATTTATTTTTTATGGTTTGCAGTTTGACCTGGCATAATTATGTAGCCTATAGGAAGAAAGTATTCTAGTTTATTGTTATTTTATTTCTTAAATGCTTTCATGTTAGTCATTAAAACTTTAAGATGATCCAGATAAAAAACCCCAACCCATAAACAAACTGTAGTCCATTTGATGGTCAGAAGTGGTTCTAAGGAAGAACAAAATCAGTTTTTCAAAGCACTTCATGGTTACTGACAGAGCTTTAAGTGGGCCGGTACACAGTACCACCACCTCTAAATTTTACCCTTCAGCATCCCGGAATTTTTTTTCCCTGAGTCTAGTGAGTACCGGCATTTTTCCTGGTGTTGTAACAGGTGTTTCGTCAGCCTGTGTTTCCCCTCAATATGCTCTTGGCTCAGACCTAAAGCTCTGGACCGCGCAGGCTGAAAAAATAAAAAATAAAAAAAGGAGCATGCTTGCTCTCTGCCTGTAAGCAGCGCTCTTCTCGCACGCAGACAAACTCAGGAATATAAAAACGAGACACAGAACGGAACAAAGAAGATGAAAAAAATGCATGAAAACAGGGAATCCAGTGCTGAACAGTYAAAAATGACTGACAGATCAGTTGAAACACATGAGGATGATGAGGCACCACTGGTGAATTACTGGTKTGCATGAATACAATAAAAACAGCCAGGAGACTAATAACATGAGAGAAACTAAAGAGGACACAATAAACCAWGAAAAGAAAACTCAATAGAAATGCACAAAGAACAAAATTCAAGAATAAACTAAGAAACTAAATAARGAACACACCGGTAGGTCTATGGCAAGACCTTTTGAGCAATAATTAATTCAGGAGATAAACAGCATGACAATCCCTGAACAGACACAAAAACACAGATCATYAWAGGAAAAAATATTGAGGAAGGGSAACACAACAATAAACTGAAAATAATCAGAATCAGAATTCTTTAATGATCCCTGGGAGATAATTGCAATTAACATAAAATAAACATCAAGGAAAGAACTAATATGGCAGAAACTATGATTTACCAACAAGCAGAGGTACAGTACACTCATTTTTTTCTCAAGTAAAATTAAGAAGTATCCCTCCACAAAATGACTCAAATTAGAGTAAGTATTTGGTAAAAAGGTTACCCAAGTACTGACTAATTGGCCAGAACATCTGATATAAAAAAATTTTAAATGATGTCATCAGACAAAAAGTATAAAGTTATGCTCAAGTTTGGTATTTTAAAGACTAAAATTAAGAAATATATATACCAACAAATAACATAATTACAAAATGACAAATTAAGCCAAAATAAACACTTTTCCAAAATTTTTATTTTCAATTTAAAGCAAATTAAACTAATTCAGAAGTCAATGTATGTTAGAACAGGGTAAAGTACAATCAGTGAKAACTTATAATGTTTACTATATCCTTATCACCTTCAGACGTGTCAGCAGGCTCAGCAGAAACTAACATCAGATCAATAAAGTTTGTTTTCAAACKAGAATTCTCATTRTAACAAATTGTAGATGTGTCTGTATCAGGTGCAGATTAGATTAAAACACGTTTGTTCTTCATTTACTCAAGTATAGCCTGTAGAGTATTTTACTCAATAAAGAGCAGTGATACTTCATAGTAACATTACTCAAGTAAAAGTAAAAAGTATGATGCAGTAAAACTACTTCTAAAAGTAGCTACATTTTTTTCTAAAAAGTTACTCAAGTAAAGTAACAGTAAAAGTAATTAGGTACTATGCACTCTAAGACACTGTGAATTAGACTCATGTGGATATGAATGTATGTAATATGWACATGTTTAGCTTTGTTCTTTGGCATTRCTGTGCAATAAAACTCCAGATCTACAGATCAATAGACAGATCTATATAAAAACTTTACTTAAGTTTGTCCCATATTTATACAACATTAAAGGGAGTACCGGTACTTTTTTTTTCCCACTTAAAGCAGTTGCTGACATGAGCTATAGGTCGTTCATACGGGTGACTCTAACTGATGATCTATATTACTGGACAGGACATCATGTTAGCTGGGCGTGCTATGCAAGGGAGATTTTTATCCATTGAGCTAATGCTAACGCTAACTTTTTATATCAATGAGCAGAACATGGCGTGGTGCAATCAAATGCAATCAAATGAATATATAAATGGTACAAGTACTTAACTACTGTATAAACTACAGAAATTATGACAATGACATTACTAGAGCAAAAGAGATTACTTTTCACAGGTAAATAAAATATATTTAACCAAAACTAAAGATTTGGACTCTAAAACCTGTATGCTAACAGTCAAAAAGCTTCAACAAACAAGTTTAACCTTTTTTAACCTTTTTTTATAATCGACTCTCTGTAGTCAAAATTATTATTTACTGATATTAAACCAGGGCTGTGCATAAAAATTTATATATCAATATAAATCAATAATTTAAAAAACTATATACTGATGTTCTTTCTTTTAATATTGACACACCCCCTCAACCCTTAGGGGGCAGTATAACAATGTGTGATTACTGTCCAGAGCAAGGAAGAGCAAGCTGCAAGTGAGCTTGATGAGAAACAAATGTATAGTTATATACAGTACATACTGTATATATATCTCAAATAAAGTGAATATAAACAGAATATATACAATATACATATATTCAAAATTTTTACAAAACATTCACAATTTCCTCACCTTTATTTTGAACCACAGTTTATAGTAAGAAATACAGTAACTTTATAAGTTTTTCTACAGGATGAAATCGCACAAGTCACTGACATTTATCGATTTTGTCGACGCTCTTCAAGGCATTATTCAGCTCCTGCGTGAGCACATCAGTATAGTTAGCAAGCAGCTAGCGTTGTCCTATCTTGTAGTACAGATCAATCTTCCAA